AAACAAGGGTAGCTGGCGTCTGCGACGTTACTTCACAAGAAGCCTCAAGGAAGACCGTGAAAAGTGGTCGGCGGGTGAAATGAAAGTGATCACTGCTTCAGGGAATAGTCAAAGGCTAGTCCAACTGATACACCACACAGGAGCCCCGTGATCCCCAGTTAGTGAAGTGATCTGCGAGAAAACACAAGCTGTTCACACTAGGGAACTATGACTTGATCCCTGGGTGGAGCATTTCAGTGAACAGTTTAGCCGGCCTAGTTCTAGCCAGATTACCTCATCTGCCACTAAAGCTTCCTGGACAGTGTCATGTGATCCTCCGGCAGAAGCGGAATTCCGATCTTACGTTCAAGCTATGAAGAGAAAAAAATTATCAGAAGCGGACGGGCTTCCTTCCATTCTTTTCAAGTTTCTAGGGCGGTGATAACCTCGTAATCTCTATTAAGGACTTACCGCCAAATGTCTGGTCGCAAGAGCACATTCTATCATTCTGGGACGAATCAATGATTGCTCCCATTTTCAAGAAGGAATCTCGCACCTATTGTGAAAATCACCGCGATATCAGCTTTATCCCAGTCTTAGCCGGCGCACAAAAGTGGATGTTTAATGGTTGTAAAAACCGAAAACCGATACCTCCGTCGTACTTTGATGTGTTGCTTCTCTAAAAGAGACCAACATACATGAACAGCAAACCGAATTCGGGCCTATTTATGGATCTGATTTTTATCAGGTCATTGAGCTGCGTCACACTGTGGACCAACGGTTGTATTGTATCCTGAATCAACAGCGGTTTTCGACTTAGTTGATCGCGAAGCTCTAATGGATTCGCTTCTTCCAAAAGGAATTCCGTCGAAGTACTTTAACTCAGTGAGGTCACTGTAATCACATACTTCTGGTCGACTGAGAGTCGATAAAGACCTAATTATGCCGTTCGTCAAAAGTGCCCCACCTCGCCATTCCTAATCATCTTCGTGTTAGACGAAATAGTGGAGAACGCGCGAAGTAGGTTTACAATAAGTATGTAATAAAAAAGCCGACAACTATTGGAGAATAATTCGGAGAATTCGTTGTCACATCGAATTCAGATTAGTAGGCTCCGCTGGTTAGGAAATATTGTGCATGCCCAACTGTGGTCTAGTGCATCGCGCCTTATTCGCGGTTGCTGTTCCAGGTCGGTGGAAATCACATGGAGGTCAACAGGTGATGTGCAAACGGGGCATAAATAAACGCACAGAGCGATTAGATAAAGTGGAGATCTCTCACCTTCCAGGCGGAGCTTTAACAGACTGGTTATTTGTATATGGCAACTAACCGGAAGCAGTGGCGTCCTTGTTGTCGTTTCCTATTAGTTCAGAGTACTTAAAAAGGTGTATGTGCACAGTTAGATTGTGTACTCTGTGTTTACCAGACGGGGTCAATTTCTTTCCCCTGCCCCCAAATACGTGCAATCCCTGTCCGGCGGACATATTTTCACTAACTGTGTATGTATCACCAGTTTGGCAGTGATCAGTGGAGTTCGTTTCAGTGCATTTTACTGTACGATGATGCTGAATCACTTTCGTTTTCCGCATATGGGATATTTTGGTTTAACACACAGAATCCCTAAATGTTAAGAGAACTAACAGTCATGGTTCCGTAATATTCTGATATCATTCCACCCGAGGATTACGTCATCAGTACATGGTTCCTGATTTGATTATCCACTCTGTCGGTGCACATTAAACGTGAGATTTGTTCTTCAAAATACCGCAGTTCTTGATGCATTTGAAAACATTCTCTTATGTGTTCGTTTTATCATTCCAAAAGCCCCAGTTTCCATGTCTAGGACATTATAAACGCCTGTTCTTTACAGTGGTTTGAGTGTCACCCCAGCGGTAGTTTTTGTTCTCTCTCTGTTGTGTTTAACTGTTTGGGGCGATCCAACATGAACACACCTACATGTTTGTTCGTTAAATAACTCGGTTTATCCCCCGATGGACCAGTGTTACAATAGGCCAAGCCTATGACAGTCAATCACAGGATTTTCATGTTGTTACTTCGCATAATCTTGCTCAGCTTTCCGGTACAAAAACTCATAACTACACACAGACGAACTCTGCTACAATGTTTCCTTTACATAATCGAATTTTGATGGAATTTTCGCTGTTATTTGAGATATCTACCCCAATAGTACCGACATTATTGGCTTGCCCAGTGTATGCTATGCGGACTAAGCACAATGTTACACTCCGCCTCACTTGCCAACTTTACATTTAAATCCATTAGCCCAGCCTGTTTGATATTAATTAGATCAGCCATCCTACGCCCTTGCAGGTTATTTCACTGACTAGTCTCCTTAGGTACGTTCAAGTGCGTGTGCGCTAATGTGCGCGAATAGCAATCTTCGTTTACAAAAATATTGAAAATCGGTTCTCGTAGCTTGGGTGAACTGAATTCTATTTCGCTTGTTCGCCGATCTTGGCAATTTGTCTGCAATTAACCCACAAACCGACCGCCTGTCTAAGGGGACTTCTGTCCAAACCAAAGGAGAGAACAATGGAGAAGAACAAGAGCAGTGTTATCTACAAAATAAACTGCAAGGGCTGCTCAAAACACTATCGGACAAACTGGAAGAAAACTGTCAACAAGGATCCGTGAACACCAATCAGCAGTCAGGAGGCATGACCCACTATCTTTGATTTCCCTCCATGAAGATCAAGAAAGACATCAGTTTGACTTCGAATCAGTGAAAATTATCGACCATATCCGGTTAAAGCATCCCAGAGAATTTCTCGAGACTTGGCACTCTTCAAACAACTCAATAAACAGGCAGATCGAACTGGATCACGTGTACACGCCAATGCAACTGAAGGATCAAATGACGCAACAAAAAAGGTCACGCCGTGATCTGAGA